AATTCTTTCCTCGGGAAATGTAACACATACAGACTATTCCACCCTGATGACGTCATTGCCGAGTGGCAGGGTGTTATACAAATTTGATACTTCCCAGATGACAAGGAATCAACACTAGACAAGCGTATGAACACGATCTCAGATAAACATAGAAGAACATATCTAAATATTTACTCGGTGGCATAATGTGATTTTTTACCAATTCAGTGTGAGAGTGTGTCATTCGGAAGAATACACATCAAGTGTATATACTGAACATGCAAGAAATCCGCCATTCCAATGTCAGTATAGAAAAACAAATTCAAATAGTTATCAACCGACTTTAAACAAATTCGGGTTATATCAAGTAAAAAGTGTGAAGATGAATAACTTTAAAAGATGTAGAGAACAGCATTTCTGAAAGTTTATATTCACGAACATACACATAGACGTATTTCAATAAAAGCAGTTGCGAGTCTTTGCTAAGGGAGATGCTATTTCAACATATACTTTGGTATCTATCCTTGTTAGTGCTACCAATGTATATCTGGCGATGTTTTGGCATGACCCGTGTTGAGTGTGTTTATTAAATAAACCGTTATTTTGAATCAAGTGCACTCGTGTATTGACATTTGGCAAAAACTGGAATAACAACCGCTAACTGAACGTACATCGCGAGCCTTACTAGATGTCCGTTTCGGATTTGCATAGTCAACATTTTCAGGAGCGTCCATCAACATGGCACAGTCTCTCAGAGTCGGCTCAAAGAACACTTAACTTTCCTTGATGACAAATAGCCAACTTGTGTTTGAATGGTGAATAAACAAATGAACGAGGATACAAATAGAGCAACGTTTTTACACGCGGTGACGCAATATACATCTCGTGGTACTCTGACATTCTGGAAGCGGCTACAAATGTCCCTCCACATCAATCGATCGTAGACTATTCATGGGGGTCTAGTCAGTGAGTCATCAGCACCGTGGAGCTTTGTAGCGTAGTGGAAGAGGAAACTGCTTCAAGTAGTGTTGGCAAATATAAAGAAAGGGACAAGACTGTAACATAAACTTCCATTGCCCTAGAGATTCGCGGAAGCTTTCTATAGTACTTTCTCTAGAAGCTTTGTAAGGACCGACTCTTTAGTAGATCAAGCACAGCTACTTATAATGTATGAGTGAATGTTATACAACGTACTTTGTGGTTTACGTAACAATGTATAAAATGTTGAATATTTCTGCAAGTTAAGCTGTATGTTCGTTGTATATGTGTAGTTTGCCATCCACGGGATACAGTGTTGAAAGTTCTCTTATTTCGGTTTGACCTAATTCAGGACCGCCTATACGGTATACTGAAGTTTGGTTGATTATGCTGTAAAATCTGTATGAAAGCTGTATATGTTATGCTGAAGTTTAGCTGCTGCTCTTTTCAGCGTGATCTGTATGGATGCCCTATATGTTATGCTGAAGTTTAGCTGCTGGATCTGTATGGATGCCCTATATGTTATGCTGAAGTTTAGCTGCTGCTCTTTTCTGTGTGATCGGTATGGATGCCCTATATGTTATGCTGAAGTTTAGCTGCTGGATCTGTATGGATGCCCTATATGTGTGAAGTTTCTGTATGGATGTGTGATCCCTATGGATGCCCTATATGTTATGCTGAAGTTTAGCTGGATCTGTATGGATCTATATGTTATGCTGGATGCTGCCTTTTCTGTGTGATGTATGGATGCCCTATATGTTATGCTGAAGTTTAGCTGCTGGATCTGTATGGATGCCCTATATGTTATGCTGAAGTTTAGCTGCTGCTCTTTTCTGCGTGATCTGTATGGATGCCCTATATGTTATGCTGAAGTTTAGCTGCTGGATCTGTATGGATGCCCTATATGTTATGCTGAAGTTTAGCTGCTGGTCTGTTCTATGTGATCTGTGTGGATGTCCTATATGTTATGCTGAAGTTTAGCTGTTGGTCTGTTCTGTGTGATCTGTATGGATGCCCTATATGTTATGCTGAAGTTTAGCTGCTGGTCTGTTCTATGTGATCTGTATGGATGCCCTATGTGTTATGCTGAAGTTTAGCTGTTGGTCTGTTCTGTGTGATCTGTATGGATGCCCTATATGTTATGCTGAAGTTTAGCTGCTGGATCTGTATGGATGCCCTATATGTTATGCTGAAGTTTTGATATTGGTTTTGTCTAAATATAGTTTTGCTATCTATATTGAAGTCCTTCCATATATATTGGAGTTTTGGTCTAGTAGACTGTTATGTTCTACGACAGAAGCGCCGCCCCTATGTGTTTACTGCATTATACTTATATACTGAGAAAAACAAATAAAGGATCACAGGAAAATTCAATCGGTTCTTTAATATTTTCCAGTTTTCACCACCAGCTTTGAATAGCCCTGTGGTGTTGAAAACTCGAAAATAATAAAGGAACGCTTGAATTTTCCTGTGATCCTTTATTTCTCTCAGTATATCATTCTATATGATCCATGTCAGGGAAAAACTGGATATTATACTGAAGTTTCATTATGTTCATATGATCTACTTCAGGCTATACACCTTATACTGACGTTTAGTTTTATTATTCTATAGATCTATCCCTGATAAACCCCATATGATGTACTGAAGCTTTGTCTAGCTTCATTATTCTTGACTCTATTCAGTCAGTCTGTTGAACACACATCGAAGTTAGGTTGTATTGTTCCACATGAACTATGTCAAAACTACGTTTTATGAAACAGGTCTATATTTAGTTTGTTTCACCTGATGTATCATACCGGATACAATGTTCTACTGCTCCAGGGGTTATGTCCGGGATGTATAAAGACGGATATATGATTCTGCAAGTGAGTTGTGTGTATATAGATGGAACTCGAATCTGTTTTACTACAGCCACGGTTTATAAGTCAAAAGCTGTTCCTGAAGACATGTTCTGTGTGTTACACAGGTAGGCACTGACTCGTTCTATGTAAGATCTATAATGCTGTATAGTCCAGACACATCCATGTTGTATCTGGACGTTCTATTGGCCGGTTTCTCCAATTATCACACTGGTGATAAGACGTGTATGATATGCTATGGCGATAAGCTGTATGTGTTATTCTCCAAGTGATGTATATGTGCTATACTGGGTGAGGTCTATGTGCTATACTGGGTGAGGTCTATGTGCTATACTGGGTGAGGTCTATGTGCTATACTGGGTGAGGTTTATGTGCTATACTGCAGGTGAGGTCTATGCGCTTTACTGAAGGTGAGATATATGTGCTTTACTGCAGGTGAGATCAATGTACTATACGGCAGGCAAGGTCTGCGTTCTATTCTTTAGGTGAGGTCTATGTGCCACACTACAGGTGAGGTCTATGTGCTGTACTGCATGTATAGGTCTGTGTGTGATTCAGTAGGTACGTCCTATGTGCGAGACTGAAGGTACGACTTCTACATACATAGTATCGATAAGAGGTTGTGTACGTTCAATAAGACACGATATAGATAAACCCGATCAATCATACAATGTAGGTAGGCCTAATTAACGTCTATATGACAATTAATATGACTGTAAGGTTAAAGTACCGGGAGATCTTTACCGTTATACTTGACCTAAACAAGGTAGGTGCCTACCGGCAACTTAACATCTGAACGGTTCATCTGTACACATCGACCTGACTTGCATGATTATATATCTATTACCCATCTACTCGACCTATGTATGGAAATGGCAACACATCATGGTACTGAAACTCTGTGGTAGCTGAGATACACATCAACACATCATTTTGAAACGTGTTTGGCAATTACGGCACACGTGGAAACATTAACCTATAGCACTAGAGGAACATGTCTATCTCGATACCCATCTGAGGCATGTGAGGTGAGGTTTGAGGTGAGGTGAGGTGAAATTGGGTTTTACGTCGTGCCTGAGAATATTTCCTTCATATGACGACGTGCATGCGTGTGTATGTGTAGGTGCGGCTGCTTGTACTAGACCAGACTGAAGCTGGTTTTATAGTGCTAGCCCACTGAGATACCATGCCGCAGTGAAGCATGAATACCCCACTCAGACACATTATACTGACTCCGAGCACACCAGTCCTTGTTGTACCCATTAATGCCGAGCGCCAGGCAGGGACCAACAAGTACCATATTTTAACGTCTTTTGGTATGACGCGGTCGGGGATCGAACCCGCGACCTTCCGCTCTCCGGGCGGACGCTCTAACCACTACACCACGGAGCCGGTCCTGAGGCATGTGGCGTTCGGTACGAAATGACGTACGGATATAGACATATCGTTAAATGGAGGTAACCATAACTCGATAACTTGTATAACTCAATAACTGACAAATAACTCCCAAGGTCAGTAAAACACGTATCCGTCTGCAACGTACGAAAGATACATCCAAAAATCTAACTAAAGACAAATAGTTCTCTACAGATGACTGTTAGGTATGGACATATATTTCTAACTTTTAGATAATAAAGTAGAATTCTACCTATAATATGTAAAGTTAGTAGCGTACACCAGTCTATAAACTATGAAGTAAGTAGATTTCTATGATTGACGTTTAGAGGATTTCATTTTCAGCCTTGATATCTGCCTATGACACGTCAAGCATATTATGTAGATTTCTACCTGTAACTTGTAAGGTAACTAGGTACCTAAGGTAACAGAGAACTATACCTATACCTTGTAAGGTAAATAAAGTAGTTTGTCCCAGTACTTGCAAGATTAGTAAAGTAGAATTCTAATTGAAACTTATCAGGTCTGTAAACTACATTTCTACCTATGATATGTATGGTAAGTAAATTAGATACTACAAATAACTTAAAGGTAAGCACATATATAATTCTTCCTACAACTTGTAAGGTAAGTGAAATAGACATTTACCAATAACTTATAAGGTAAGCAAATAGATTTCTACCTATAACTTGAAAGGTTTGTAACATGTATTTTACCTGTAATTTAAAAGACAATGAAGTAGATAACTATAGACTAGATGTGTAAGGTAAGTAAGTCAGGTCTCACCTCGGCTTCGTCTCGACTCGTCACCATATTCCCACCCTTAGTTCTCCCTTGCCTGTACTTGAGCTGATCCCTGTGGTCACGGTGCTGGTAAAACGGCTCTCCTACAATCACTGTACACACAGTCAAAACATGTAGCAACGACAGCAGCTGCGATGTCCCCCTCGGCATTGTACCACGACTTCACGAGTAATCCCTGGGTGGACTGGCCCGAACTTTTTTATGAAGGAAAAAAATGACCCCTTTGTCCAAATGGGGACTGACACAAGTTAAACACACACTGTAAACATCCACAGAAGTAGCAATTAGATTTGGAAGTTAAGAAACTCTTCCAAAGCTCAAGGTGGTATAGCAGTGAAGTTGCGAATGTTGGTATGAACGTAAGACTGTCCTATGTATTAGGCTGAAAGTCCGAGGATACTATTCCACAGGTTCGACGATGAGGTTGGATGGGCCTGACTCCCGGCATGTCTCCCAGTTGAAGCTACAGGACCACTGACTGACTATAACCAGGGCTGCGGTGATGGCGTCACTTAATCACTGCCCACTGTTGTATGACGTCCACGCCGAACCTCCGGTTGCTTCCTGCAATCAAAATGACTGTATGAGTTAATATGTACATTGACGGCCAGAACAAGGCTACAATACGTTGTGGACCGTATGGCACTTACAGCCCATGGTTCTTAGCATCTGCTGCAGGCGATTCATTCAGCCTTAGTCCGTATTGCTGCTCTGTGGAACTGATGGGGGAACGCTACACGTAAAGTGGAGGGGAGGGATAGGGATGAGGGGTAAGCACGTGGGGCATGTTAGTTAGTCTAGCTTCTGGAAGCTCCTGGCTGTACTGGCCGAGAAAGCCTGGCCGCTGATGGACCCGTATCGGACAGACGGTGTAGATAACGCGGATTCCCGCCACCACTGCCACGTGCAGGCCGCGAGAGCTGCCGATAGACAGTGACTGATGACCCTACGCTCCGGGGGGAGGGGCGGGATGAGGGCGAGGATTGCGGCGGTATCTACTTCGGTTCTGTAGATGTCTCCGCAAGAGTTATACCATGGTGTTCTGAAGTATAGCAACAGGTTGCTTGTCTGTGTTTACGGTTTCTGAATTCCTTGTATATGGCGCTAGAAAATACAAAAATCAAATCCATTTATCACCGCTTTTTACATTTGGATTTTTACATTGCTAAATGTGAGTATTCAGACAAAATTCAACATCATCATCATCATCATCATCATCATTATTACCATCATTTTCAAAGGTACCTAAATTGTAATTAGTCCGACTGTCATTGAAGACACTGTTTGCAATGAAATTGCCCAAATCTATGCAATCTATTTGGTTAGTTTGAACGATTTATCCATCATTCCAACTTTAGTAATTTGTATGACTATGGAACTTGGTCACCTCGTTGCACCTGACAAATAGAATGATAAGCTACATAGTATGTGCTTGGCGGTGGAACGGTTATACAGCAGTGTTCTAGTCGAAACCAATAAAGCCGTCCAAGGCTGTCAACACAACACTACACAAGACACCCTATTGTCGCTGCAGGGAGATCTAAGCGCGTGTTACGGCATAACCCACGTGCTGTTTCTGTCGCTGCCATATGAGTCTGCGCAAATGGAATGGTGTCACGTGGTTCTGTGAGCACCATGTCTGTGTAAAATTTCTGATGTACGGCCGTCGCTCATCACATGGTAAAACATAACACATCCCGCAGAAAATAGATCTCGTAAACGTCACGTGTACTCACGTACATTATCAAAGCTACGCGAGAACCGTGATGAGACGTTATGCTCGTTGAGACGTTAAAGCAGCGCATTGAACATACCTTCAATAGCTTGGTACCCTGACGGAGCTATTTTAGCCGAGAGAGACCCAAGTTATCCCAGTGCACCACCCCAAAATTCTGTGAAAACTCCAAACATGACTGCATTGGGGCACCGTGGAGAGGCGGAACAGAATGTGTTCCCAACGCCCCATTACTGGTCGTAAGAGATGACCGAATGAGGCTTCCCGTGAAGATCCTAGTTAGAAATGATCTTCAGCAACCCATGCTTGTCGTAAGAGGCAACAGACGCATTGGGTGGTCAGGCTCTCTGGCTTAATTGATGCATGTCATTATATCCCAATTTTTCGAAGATCGATGCCCTTGATGTCAGTCACAAGATCGTCTGGTCCAAACTCGACTATTACAGACTACAGCTGTAGTATTGCTGTGTGCGGCGTTAAACAAACAATAAAACGTACACGTGAGAGACATTATGATAACCAAAATGTCGACATGTGTTCTTCCCTCCAGCTGAAGATTGAACAAACGCAGTCATAAGTACCCTTGCTTATTTTACACCACGTAATAGTACTAGTTTTCATAACCATGAAAATATACACAGCCGCATGGCGCCAGCAAACATCCATTTGAGCCGCCTCTGATTGGAAGTGGTACTAACCAAGTCCTGAAAGCGCTAGAATAAGGCCTACATACATCAAAACTTCCTCGTCTCTTGCCAACACCACCCTCTCGGGTATGACCATTATCTTAGACACTGACCTGTATTGAGTTTGTGTTACCTTGGCTGACGCTGGGCATTACAGTAATGAACGATCGGTTCCTCAGTTACATCAGGGACACCCCCTGTCACCGTTTCGACAGCTGTGTACTATATTCAACCGCTGATGTAAACTGCGTCCGTGTATGATAATCATAACATTCAATATGCAAACGACCTGAATTAACATACAAGCTGAATTCGTCTAGCTCACCGTGAAGAGTTGAAAGGAAAATAGATGGGTCGTTTGAGAAGATAATATCATCATTTAAATCTCCATGAGCTCTACAACAGGGTGTATCTGTGTAGGGAGTCAATGTATGCAATTTTATCATTCACCTTGAAGGTAGCTATAAAGAGAAGCGTTGTTCTGGGGCACGATGCATGGACAGAAGAAAGCCATGTGTTGTCCTGGGTACTTTATACTGAATTCAATCTTCTCGCACTTAACAATAGACCTCATTCTTACGATCAGATACAAATCGTAGTGGCAGTAACAATCATTCATAAACGCATCAAAAAACTTAATTTGTACAACGACTAGTTTATATATAAAGCCCACAAGCTCAAACAGAGAGCCTTGTGTTATATAAGGACACAATGGCGTCTAGGGGTGCGTGGTTCACCCCATGTTCCGCGAACGGAGCTTGTGTTGACGGAGATACACGATACGTTTACTATACTCCTGTTGGTGGTCTACCCCGGGCGTGCAGTGACGGCACACACACAACCAAAGACCCTCGTCCCGGGGGCTCTGCAACCTTTGCCTGTCCCAATCTGACTGTATTGAAAGCCACGCGGTGGAAACATTTTATGAGTGGTTCCAACAATACACCAGATGTGCTCCATTGACAATTACAGTTTCATTCATGTTTCCAGTATCAGCGGGAGCGAATTATTACATATAACGAAAGGTTTAGTTGGCATAGAATCGCATTTAGGCTTAGTATTAATGGTACTTTTAATGTATCAGTTGAACCTTTGTTATCATACCAAGGTCATGAGAAAAAACGAATCTGATGATTGGTGAGTGAGTCAGGTTTCACGCAGCCATGAACAGTGTTTCACCTATATCGGGCGTCAGCTTGATGCGGGGGGGTATGAGTGAGTGAGTTAGGTTTAACGATGCTAAGATCAGTATTTCACCTATATCGGGCGTCAGCTTGATGCGGGGTGTATGAGTGAGTGGGTTAGTAACACTGGTAGGATCAGTATTTCAACTATATCGGGCGTAGGTTTAACACATGTAGGTTTAACACTGGTAGGATCAGTATTTCACCTATATCGGGCGTCAGCTTGATGCGGGGTGTATGAGTGAGTGGGTTAGGTTTAACACTGGTAGGATCAGTATTTCACCTATATCGGGCGTCAGCTTGATGCGGGGTGTATGAGTGAGTGAGGTTTAAAACTGGTAAGATCACGTATTTCACCTATATCGGGCGTCAGCTTGATGCGGGGTGTATGAGTGAGTGGGTTAGGTTTAACGATGCTATGATCAGTATTTCACCTATATCGGGCGTCAGCTTGATGCGGGGTGTATGAGTGAGTGAGTTAGGTTTAACACATGTAGGATGAGTATTTCACCTATATCGGGCGTCAGCTTGATGTTGGGGGTATGAGTGAGTGGGTTACTGGGTTTAACGATGAGTGGGTTAGGGTTTCACACTGCAAAGATCAGTATTTCACCTATATCGGGCGTCAGCTTGATGCTGGGGGTATGAGTGAGTGGGTTAGGTTTAACGATGCTAAGATCCGTATTTCACCTATATCGGGCGTCAGCTTGATGCGGGGGTATGAGTGAGTGGGTTAGGTTTAACGCTGCTAAGATCCGTATTTCACCTATATCGGGCGTCAGCTTGATGCGGGGTGTAGTGTATGAGTGAGTGGGTTAGGTTTAACGATGCTAAGATCAGTATTTCACCTATATCGGGCGTCAGCTTGATGCGGGGTGTATGAGTGAGTGAGTTAGGTTTAACGATGCTAAGATCCGTATTTCACCTATATCGGGCGTCAGCTTGATGCGGGGTGTATGAGTGAGTGAGTTAGGTTTAACGATGCTAAGATCAGTATTTCACCTATATCGGGCGTCAGCTTGATGCGGGGTGTATGAGTGAGTGGGTTAGGTTTAACGCTGGTGGGATCAGTATTTCACCTATATCGGGCGTCAGCTTGATGCGGGGGGTATGAGTGAGTGGGTTAGGTTTAACGATACTATGATCAGTATTTCACCTATATCGGGCGTCAGCTTGAAGCGGGAGGAGAGTGAGCCATGTTTTATACCGCAATGAAACGTTTCTCAGCTATATATATCTGAGAACTAACTTGCAATGAGAGGGAACAAAGTAGTTACCATTCACATATACGACTATCACTTTGCAAAACGGGATTCGAGCTGGTAAGGAACACTTAATAGCCAATACATGCTCGAGTGAGTGATTGTGTGACTGAAGAGTACGCCTCAGTCAGTACACTCAGGTCTGCTAACCTGTTCGAGCTAAACATGTGGCTGATGGTATGAGCACAGCAACGAGTACGACGGTTCCAGGACAAAACTGCTACCTTTACCATTGTGCCCACCCGATCAGCTTCAGCTACCAGGATCCGCTTGCTAGTTTGAATAACCAAGACTACCAATATTGTTGCATCAGCGCTATGAGTTGATACGTTGATTTAACTTACGAGGTTCTATGCTTAAAATGAAATGGTCTCATTCGCTACTTACACCACATTAAAGTCAATGCCGTGACTGCATACTGCTTAAAGCGGCGTTTTACCACAACATACACACTCACCCCTACTTCAACACTGTAGGTAAGTGGTATATAACGATATAGTTGCCTCTGCCTCAAAATGCGTTACGACACAGCTAGCTCTCTCAGGGAGGTATACAGGACCACGTGGGTAACCCGGCCTGACCCCACAGCTCCAAATAGATGGCACAAAGCCGTGGTACAGCGCATAGAAAAGGCTTCACAAGTGAGATGATGTAATACCTTCACATGTATGTAAATAAATCATGATTCCTTGGAACTAATTATACACGGGAGGTAAATCTTACACGTCTACACACTGAGGTGTTTGTCATGAGAAAACATCTGATCATTGCAGCCTCAAGTGAGTGACGTGAATTGCTATGATGTCATCATCATCATCATCATTTCCAAAATGATATTTGCATAAATTATTAGCATAAATAATATTGCCGCTGTCAACTGCATGAAGACGGATTATTATCATTGTCTTTATCAATGCTACCATCATCATCATCACCATTCAAAAGGAGTTTTCTAAGATATTCAGCTACTTCAGCTTTTTAACTGATTCTAGTTTAGGAGTGTTATGTTGAGTTACACAATTGTACAATAGAGCTCTCGTACTTCTGTCCCCTTTCTGATTCTAGTTTCGAGAATGACTGACTGACTGACTGAGTTTGGTTTTACGCCGCTTTTAGCAATATTCCAGCAATATCACGGCGGGGAACACCAGAAATGGGCTTCACTCATTGTACCCATGTGGGGATTCGAACCCGGGTCTTCGGCATGACCAACTAACGCTTTAGTTTCGAGAATGACATAATTGTACACATGTATAGGCTCACGTACGTCAGTCTTCTTCTTGTGTCGGAGTGCTGGTTGAGCACCATGACTGTTCAGTGTTTCAGGGAGTGCGAGAGGTCCGTGTAACCCGAGGAAAGTGAACCACCACCCCTCAGATACTGTCAACGAGGGGTTGGTTTGACTGCGAGGGGGAGGTGGAATGAGAGAATGAGAGTGGACGCGGGGAATAGACAACGTCGCATATCACGCGGACAAGAGGTGAGGTGAATTTAGTTTAACGTTGTGTTCACGTATCACGTATAGTACGTGCATAAACATGCTTATACCAGTGCTGAATTACGAGTGTTTCTTTTCGCTAGTCCACCCAGATACCACGCCAAAGTGGATAACCAACGCTGACATTTCCGACACACCGGCAGGCCCTGCCGACTCTGCCCAAACTAGCGTAGCGTACGATTAGAGTAGCTTCCCTTTGCTAAAGGGACGTAACTCTAGTGGGAGGAGCGATGTATTGCCGCGAAAGGCAAATAGAAGCAATATGAGGGCACCTAGCTGCAATTTTGCCTATATAATAATAAGTCATCTTCTATAGCGCACAGTATCCAAACACCAAGTGATTGCTCGCGGCTCTTGATCAGAATCTGATTATTATTACCCCGGATAACCCAAGCTGCCTGTTAGGCGCTGGAAGGTTATAGTCACATGACTTTATCAAACCGGGTATCCATTTTTTGCTGGTCAATCTCTGAGAACAGGTTTCATTTCTAACTATGACTATTGTTCATTTTGTCACTTTCTGATTGGCACATCACTGACCTTCTGACATATTTATGCGCACATGTAATGTAATCTAATCTTAGGGACCGTTCATAATTTATGGCTAGGGGGTGATGGTGATTCTTATGGAGAAGCATGTACAAAGTGAATGACCCCCCCCACCCACGTGTCATTTTTAAAATCAATGACCACCCCCCAATACATATGTACAAAACTGAACAAAATGGGTAAAACCCCACCCATCCTCTTTAACTTATCACCACCATAAATCATGAACGGTCCCTTGCAATGTTCAGTTAATGTTTGTGACGGATATGGACAGAATCTAAACATAACATATGAAATGCGTTATCACGCCTCCGGTTTTGGAGTAGTAAATAACCCGTAATAGACATAAACACATTACTCCGCTATAGTCCGCTAAGAAAACAACGTAAATTCTTAATTCAGGAAATTTACCACTACGAAACACTAGCGTAATAACATCTACTTACGTATGCAAGGGACTTGAATGATATATTAGGCCGTAATGGATCGGTTACTATGAACAACAACTGTTATAAGAAGAAAAAGTTGTCCTTTTCACAAGTCATGTTAAGCCTTTATTTCGAAATAAAATATTCCTATATGTACATTTAGAAAATAAGTAAATGTAGTCTATGTAAACAATCTCAGCAGTTTTTGTTATTTAGTCAACTTTAGCCTCGTTTTGTGAACGTCCTTCTACGTATTTGTAGCAAGATATCTCCTTCAAATTACTCAATGACCGAATACAGAAACCGAGAATTATAGCCCCTCCTTTGTCTTCACCACCCGAATATACTGAAACTGTCTCAATGACCCATTAAAACATAAACTGTAAACAAGCTTGTTTTGTAGAACAGCTGTGACATTTGTGGCCTTGTTCGTGAAAGGAATTAGCCCAAGCTCCTTAATGTACATGTAAAGATCAAGGTCACTACCGAGACGTATTTGAATTTGGTTATATATAAGCAACCGTCGGTGTAAAATGGTAGGTGAGTCTGGGTAAACACCGTTTTGATAAGTATTCAATTTACATCACAGCGTGTCTGCTTCGTGTGGGAGGAAAGCTCGAAGTAATACAAGTCTGGGATGTTTACTGTGATACCCACGGTAAAGGCATGGTGCTGGCAACCCAAGGAACATAACTTGGGTGCCGTTGTACAAAACAACAAAGTGCTAAGACTACATTAAGTCTATGTTAAAGGTATGGGAGTTACAGTCCTTATCGCTAAGATAGCTTTGTACAACGGCGCCCTGGACGAACCATCAACAACCACACGGTACTGACGTGGACAAAATATACAACTATGACTGTGTACAGCGAATCGCGGCGCCTCTTTCGAAATGGGCCATCCCCGTAGTATAGTAGTGATCAAACAACATGCGAGCAATGAATATCTACACCCGGATATCACAGCACCCGATCCTCGTATTTCAAAAGTTTTTCGAGATACATCCTGTTTGTTCCCAATTAATTCAAAGTCACCCCGCTGGTGAATACATGAGTGACGCAACAGGACCCCAAGGGAAGACATTTAGTAAGCTATTCCTTAATAGTATAGTAACGCCACGTAAAACCGTATTTTTGGTTATATTACGTCGTGGAACCAGCGTAGGGCTCTGGAAATATAATCAGAGTGAATCTGGCATATCCCTAATACTGTCATTTATTCCTCTGTGGGGAATCGAACCCAGGCCTTCAGCGTGACGAGCGAACGCTATAACCACTGGGCTACCCCACCGCCTCTTAATGTCAGTCTAACGGGGTACGGCCACGAGCAATCAGCCCAATCACGAACCAGGTCATAACGTTTCAACAATTCCAAATGTGGGGTACTGGGTACCAATTCTGAACGAGGTTCCTCTTGTACAGTACATTAAGGAAGGGGGAGGAGTGAGTGAGTTGGGTGTTACGCTGCTGTTAGCAATATTCCATCAATATCGCGGCGGGTGGCACCAAAAATTGGCTTCACACATTGTACCCATGTGAGAAATCGAACCCGGGCCTTCTGCGTGACGAACGAACGCTCTAACCACAAGGCTACCTCACCGCCCCGGGAAGGGAGGATGTGACCTAATGTATGCAGGCGACACCGACAAGACATCACTTTTGTCACAACACGCGACCTGTCAAAAGCAGCGGTAGGAAGAATTTTTCTTCGAGAATTACAATATATTATCCTACACAGGAAGGACTATCTCAGACGCCAGGATGAGTCAAATATGACCTCATCCCACGTGATATACAGAAATGTCCCACCAACGCAAGGTCGTCCCTCAGTTGGTGATATATCGCTGCACCAAAGCCTGTCTAAACCCAAGAGAGATTACGTAGGATCTCAGCTTTACCAGGAAATGCCATATGACAGGCGCTATGCAGCAACGCCGTGAATCATGCAACTAAACATGGCCGGCGTTGACAGAATCTAAGATAGCGACAACTGTCGATAGAGCTGCTACTCACACAAATACCATATTCCAAATGAATATTTCACAGAGACAGACGCTCCCATCTGCAAGCAGGCATTGTTGAGTGCCAACTCATAAAACATTTACCATCAGATAAGTTTGTTTGTTTCCTGTTAAACGCCACACTCAGCAATTCTCCAGATATATGACTGTAAATATTAGAATCTGGACCAGACAATCGAATCACGGGTGTCAAAAGCATCGATTTGCAAATGTAGTACGATTAAATGTATCAAACAGGATATTGAGCGGGACCACAATATCCCTCCATGGCTTCTTACAAACTTGGGTTGCTGAAGACCGATTCTCTGCCGAATCTTCACGGGTATTATATACGTGGTACTGGATGTCCAAATTTGCATTATTATTACACTGGGTCGGAAGTCAAAACATACAAAAAACTGTAACTGTAAATGTAACACTGAAACTATCCGAAAAAACTAAAATAAAATAAAAAAAGGGAAATGTAAAAATTTCTTCAAGAAATATGGATTACTTTGGGAATCTATACAAAAGCGGTCAACAGTCTGCATTCTGTCATGATACATACATACATACGACCTACCATAGCTTCGAATGTAACGTAACGATGCTAAAATTAGCCGTCCAATAAAATTACAGATATGAGCGAGAGCAATTGTGTGCGAAGATACTGATAGGGTAGTTAAACGAATGCAACTATGGAAACGCGATAATCGAAGATGGACAACATATAAATGGGGACTAAACGCTGTATAGAACAGTAAGTATTTCAATAATATCACAGCGTATATAAAAGTGGGATATGCGCTCGACATTTACCATTGTGACGGCACTTACGAACTCTGGAAAAGTGGGAAAATATTACTGCTGACATTACCTTTAAGCTTGGTGCTTTAGCAGACTATAGTTGACGCTTGTTGTTAAAAGTGCACGGGGGAAGACGCATGAAAAGGAACGTCTTCTGTCGATGTAAACAACACATAAAGAACTTTTATCCAATACAGGTCTAAGTACGAAGAAGTCAACAGAATTCAGGTCGGCAATCTGATTGCAGAGGTGACAAAGTGGCAACTGACACGGCCGTGTTCACATGGGGTAGGCACGACGACAAACACAAGCCACGTGGAACATCCATGACAGGTGTAGGGGTCGTTAAGAAAGGACGTGTTGTGACATTCTTATAACGAACCACACTATATACCTAAACAGGAGCAGGATACGGGAGTTCCCAGGTGTGGGTCTTTCATCGGCGGAGATTTAGACACAGGGATAGGCTGTGTATACAAAACACTGAAATCAACGTATGTAATCTCCATCATAGTTACATTCAAGGACTGTAGTCACGCTGGTTCGTCTCCTGCTTGCTAATCGTACATCAGAATACCACATAAGGTGTTCGTGGTGAACGTCTTAAATTTCCTAATAAATCATCCTGAGTCGAGAAGGTGATAAAGCGTGCTTCCATAATTAATCTTAATCAGACCAGGGTCGGAGTACCTGTTTATACCACCGTATACTTGGAGATGTAGATTTGCAATGACAGAATACAGACTGTGATTCAGAGACACAGGGAAGACCCAGTCAAACAGAGCTGTATACAATCATATCATCATATATAAATATAAATTGAAGTGGCACAGAAAAAAAGACTAGGCATTGTATACGTGAACATAGATTAAATCTTTTTGTAACAAAACCGGTGTGTTGTGATACAGCTACGCCACGGCCAAATAGGGACGTCTTAAGGATGTTTCGTTAAATCAAGGTCGCAAAAGGACACTTTGATAAAAACGGTTCCTTCTTTAACTACTGACTGAGTTTAGTTTTACGCCGCTTATAGCAATATTCCAGCAATATCACGGCGGGGGACACCAGAAATAGGCTTAACACATTGTGCCCATGTGGGGAATCGAACCCGGGTCTTCGGCGTGACGAGCCAACGCTTTAACCACTTGGCTACCCCACCGCCCCTCTTTCAACTACAAGGACTATTACGATATTATAAATATATGAAACTATTATATAATGACATTCGTAACGCCATTCGTGAAAGATAATGTTTGCTCCATATCAATTTTGTATTGAAACATGGTTCGATTCCACACACGAGTACAAGGAGCAAACCGTGAAGATCCGGGTTAGATCGAATTGGTCTTCAGCAACCCATGCTTGTCGTAAGAGGCGACTAACGGCATTGAGTGGTCAGGCTCACTGACTTGGTTGACACATATCATCGTATCCCAATTGCGTAGATCGATGCTCATGATGTCAATCACTAGACTGTTTGGACCGGACTCGAGTATTTACAGACCGTCGCCATTTTTATATCGTTCCGGTACATTGTGCCAGCTCTCAGCCCAGCGTGACAACGTGGAGGCTGACAACAAGCCAAGGGTGATAATCGGGACGATCAGCTGATCCGGGGACACCAAGTGTGTTTTGAATCATACCAGGGCCCTTGAGATGATGACAATCGGTATGGCCAAGAGCAAAGAGTGGTCTTACTGCTATCCCTATACGTCTATATATCTTTGTGTAGAAGGAATGCGCTTTAGAGACGACAACACGATAAGGACCGCTCACGAAACGGTAGAATTGCCAAGGTTCAAAGTTTACGAAAACATTCCTTTCCAATTTATGAAAACAGGGAGAATTGCATGAGTGAAAACAAAAAACGCTTCCTTTTTCAATACAATTATGTTTTGCACTTACAACAATAAGTTCAAAAGCGGATCTTAAATATGTGAAAAAATGAACTATGATCAACAATCTCCGAATGTGAAATGTAATGTTCGCCGTGTATTCACATCTTAGAGTTTCGGAATAAAAGTTTGAGTTTGTTTTAAACATATTTTATTCACAGAGAAAAGGATTAGGAACAAGTTCTCCAACTTGACAGATAGTGGACAAGAAAGTAGTATAAGAAAAAGAGATAGAGCTTATACAGAATAATATCAATATGCTATATAATGAACGATTGCACTAACTTGAATACATTTGTATTTTAAGTTGGGGTCAGAACAGTAAAATTCTACCAAAATGCATTGATCGGAATTATTTTAATGCTATCGCTTAGCAGTTTTCTTTAGATATAGACAAATTAACATGTTTGGACAACTGACCATAAACGAACATACGTCCACCGCAGTCATCACTACACTGAACAAATACACGGTACCTTGGGAATAGGGATGCATAATTCTGTATACTTGTAAATACTATCAGTAAATTTCTGCAACACTCCCACGGAAGAGCTCGAACGGAAGAGCTCGAGCAAGAATACATAAGATTGCATCAGCATACATTGATCGGAACCGTTTTAATGTTATTATTTCCTAGGATAAAGACAAATTATCATATGTTTTGATAACTGTGACCATGAGCGTACACATACCTTTCCAGCTGCACAATCTACATATGAGTCTTCATCTCTTGAAAGCAGAATAATTTTCATTGGCTTTGTGCAGTAACATCCGATGTTTAGACTAAGACAACGCTTATATCGAATGTCCATATAATGAATGTTTCGCGTGTTCGTTGCCAGCAGAGACTGAACGCACCCAAGGCGGGTCTGTGTGCGTAACACGACTCGAGAGTACCCAGTTTATCTACTGCCCTGATAACGTCCCTAGTAATTACAGTCAACGTCATTTGGGGCCGAGTTGTACTAAACGTTTATGCAAATATAAATCAATCGAACTGTGGGCTGGTAACGTGATGTGTAAACAAAAACAACGTTTCGTCAATATATAATAATAAATGTCATGGTATTGTTAATGCACCGCACAAGACTAAAATTAGTTCCTCTTCGGACCTAATGCTAGTTTTTATTATCCTGAATGAATGTTTGAAAAAACCAAAACACAAGTCATGTAACCGGTAATGTAACACGAGCACTGCAACAACCTCTTTATACAGAATCCACGAGAACAAGAACAACAACACACTGTGAAATTTGAATTAGTAACCTGTTCACGAAGCCGTCGACCCATATTTTGTTTAAATCCGACTTCACATCTTTTTTATTGCCACAGACGTATCAATGTTCAGACCAAAAAGTGCACATTGTTTCACACAATTAAATTCATAACACATTTTTAAAAATAATTAAACTACTTTTTTCTTATTACGCTTTGTGTATGATCAAGGAGCGATCATTTAGAACTTACATATAATTGATAAACATTATATCCTCTCTGATTATTGCACGCTATAGAAACTTATATCATGTAGATGTTTAGCAAGATATTTTCTATATTAGATGTAATTTAGATATGCCGTTACCTAAGTTATATGTTAGATATTTATTGAGTTTTCAGCTAACTAAATAGAAATGTACGTCATGCCTCTCTCTATCAAATGATCACAGCTGTCATAACGCTTTCCCACCCCACCCAATTCCACCCCACCTCACCCATCCTCACCACAGTGCCACCTGTGGCTACACTGACTATATAAACACACCCCAGTATCACAGGTAGATATACCCGTGAGGTCCCCACACATCCGCACCCCACCCTCACCGTCGGCGTAGTTGCATCTCACAGCATCAGCATCGTTAAAGTACTAAGCCGTCGCATCTGTACCCTCCCATGTGGGTCCCCCAACCCCCAAGGGACGTCTGCATTGGCAGAGACACATCAACTTTCAAGTAGGGGGGATTCTAGCGTATGTCGACTGTATATTTCGTCATAAGGATTCCTTTGTGTAGTCCCTCGAGGCCATTCTAAGGCCGGCGAACCGGCGTGGTGAGAGTAGGTATAAAATCAGATACAGGAATCTAATTATACGGCATTTGTAACCAAAATATATGGAAATCGTGTTAACAGACATTGCCTGAACCAATGATACGTTCTTCATGTCCCCAGGGTGTTAGAGTCGTGGATTAGGTATGTAGTTTGTATATTGTTGTAGTGTTGGTGTGTTGAATGTCTGGGTCCCATCATACAGATTGTTAAAAAAACGGAAGGGGGTCGGGCGGGATTGATGGTAGCATTCAAATCCAGTATCCCTCGTACCATCGGCTCATCACCATCGTCTTCTCTGATCCCACCGGTATGAACTGGGAAATGAGGTTGTTTATGAAAAGATGTACTTCTAATTTGGAAACTTGTATTTTTCTGTTGAACTTTGAATCAAATAAAATTCATTGTGACAGTGATTTTTGTCGCATCAGCAATTTTGAAATTCTCGATGGCCGTAGAATTTCAGGGTGAAATTTATTCCCGGGAACAAGAATGAGCATTTGAATCGGGTTTCGAGATGTAATGTTCGGAAAAAACGAAAAAGAATCTCACACCAATATTGGGAATCAAAACATAAGAACTTTTAGCATTAGTGGTATAATATATAATTCGGTTTGGAAAGTGGAATATATAAGTGATGGATGTGTCGAGTGTGCACTATCGGCAAGGTGGCTCCAGAATGCAACAAAGAGTGTTCGACACGATGAGAAGTTTATCGTTCATAAACAATTTTGCCAAGCAAACATTTGTACCACATAAGATCGGGTTCGCCATTGACTCATTGTATTGATAAGGATAGTATTTTTCGCCATTATATAGACAGTGACAAGTAGAAGCTATCAGTGACAAGTAGTAGCTTGATACAAACACGGGGCGGTGGGGTAGCCTAGTGGTTAAAGCGTTGGCTCGTCACGCCGAAGACCCGGGTTCGAATCCCCACATGGGTACAATGTGTGAAGCCCATTTCTGGTGTCCCCCGCCGTGATGTTGCTGGAATATTGCTAAAAGCGGCGTAAAACCAAACTCAGTCAGTCAGTGATACAAACACAAACCCAGGTCAGTCCAATGTAATCTATATCAACGAGAACATTGCTTCCAACAGAAGATCATTTGTTTCAAATATTTCTTTCCGGTTTTGAAACGACGTACCCCCCTCACCCTAAACTCACGTTCCCTTCCCGTGACGTGCTTGCACTTGCCGTCATTGGGAACTATTTATTTAAAATCTGAAACAATTCTCCCCAAGTCATGTTTCTAAAAGCCTGTCGCTGTAGCTAGGCAGTCATTCCTTGTTCCTCGCCATCCGTTCAAGCATTCGACTCCAAAACCAAATGAATAACAACGACGTTGATATAGAGTTATGCAACTTGCGATCCCGCCCTTCCCCATCACATC